ATGTCCCCGATGTCCCCGATGTCCCCGATGTCCCCGATGTCCCCAATCTCCCAACATCCCTGACGTCCCCAATCCCCCCAATATCTCTGATGTCCCCAGTGTCCCCAATCCTCCCAGTGTCCCCCGTGTCCCCAGTCCCCTGCTGTCCCCGATGTCCCCAAAGCCCCCAAGGTCCCTGCTGTCCCCAATGTCCTCTCAGTGTCCCCACTGTCCCCAATCCCCCCAATGTCCCCAGTGTCCCCAGTGATGTCCCCAATCCCCCCCAGTGTCCCCCCAGTGTCCCCAATGTCCCCAATCCCCCAATGTCCCCAAATGTCCTCAATGTCCCCAGTGATCCCAGTCCCCTCAACGTCCCCAGATGTCCCCAAGGTGTCCCAGTGATGTCCCCAATGATGTCCCCATTGTGTCCCCAGTGTCCCCAATCATGTCCCCAAGTGTCCCCACTGTGTCCCCAGTGTCCCCAATGTCCCAAACCCCCCCAGTGTCCCTGAAGTGTCCCCAGTGATGTCCCCAATGTCCCCAAATGTCCCCATTGTGTCCCCAGTGTCCCCTCATTGTCCCCAAACCCCCCAGTGTCCCCACTGTCCCCTCATTGTCCCCAGTGTCCTCAACATCCCTGAAGTGTCCCTGATGTCCCCAATCCCCCCAATGTCCCCAGTGACGTCCCCAAGTGTCCCCAAACCTCCCCACTGTCCCTGAAGTGTCCCCAGTTGTCCCCAATCCCCCCAGTGTCCCCTCATTGTCCTCTCTGTCCCCATTGTGTCCCCAGTGTCCCCAAGTGTCCCAAATCTCCCCACTGTCCCCAGTGATGTCCCCAAGTGTCCCCAGTGTCCCCCCAGTGTCCCCAGGTGTCCCCAGTGTCCCTGAAGTGTCCCCAGTGTCCCAAATCTCCCCAGTGCCCCCACTGTCCCCAATCATGTCCCCAGTGTCCCCAGTGTCCCCAAACCCCCCCTCTGTCCCCATTGTGTCCCCAGTGTCCCCAACGTCCCTGAAGTGTCCCCACTGTGTCCCCTGTCCCAGTGTCCCCAAATGTGCCCAGTGTCCCCAATCATGTCCCCCAGTGTCCCCACTGATGTCCCCAATCCCCTCATTGTCCCCAGTGATGTCTCCACTGTCCCCAAGTGTCCCCTCTGTCCCCTGTCCCCCTGTGTCCCCAATGTCCCTGAGGTGTCCCCAAGTGTCCCCAAGTGTCCCCCTGTGTCCCCATTGTGTCCCCAAGTGTCCCCAGTGATGTCCCCAAGTGTCCCCAAGTGTCCCCAGTGTCCCCAATGTCCCTGAGGTGTCCCCAGTGATGTCCCCAAGTGTCCCCAAGTGTCCCCAGTGTCCCCCTGTGTCCCCAGATGATCAAGACCCGCAGCTCCCGGGTGCCGGCGCTGAGCGACTTCGTCCGGTGGGGACGGGGGGGACTGGG